AACAGTAACCCAAAGACATTTATTCATTGCCTCTTTCTATTTCGAACAATGATGAATTTAAACCAATTTTCCACAATATTTTTCCATGTGCAGAATGCTCTGAATTGAATTTATCGCCGATCTTTGTCGATTGACCTAAAAATATTGCAGCTATAAAAGCCAGGAAGCCTTTGTTTTAACCGTCCATTCGTGTTTGTGGTCGCCGCATGCAAATGCCGCACTCTTGTTCCGTCCTGTGTTTGCCAGTTCGCATCGTGCGTCCCAAATTAGCGTGATGATGTGGTTACTCGGGCGAATATTTCGGCAGAAACACACGCTCAACAATTGCGGTGCAGTGGAGGCCTGGGGCCATACTTTCAAAAAAAAGTTAAGAGATCGTAAGTTCATCAGCCAATCACTGACGGCCTTTCAAGCAAAATCCACCAATCATAGACAAGAAAATAGAGCGTAAGTATTTACGTTCACTTAATGAATTTTGAAAGTATGGCCCCTGAGCTCAAATTTACTATAAAAGTTATTTTTAAAGGTACTGCAATCATCAGTCAGCTTGAATCGCGAGTCTAACAAGAATTTTAAAACAAAGAAAACTCCAAATAAATTAAGCTTATTTACTATGAAAAATATTTTTAAAGGTACTACAATCATCAGTCTGCTTGAATCGCGAGTCTAACAATAATTTTAAAACAAAGAAAACTCCAAGTAAACTCAGCTTATTCACGTTTTTTGAATATGTGGTGAATTTATTTGCTGTTTATTTGCCTCTATATATTTTAAAAAGGTTTCAATAAGAGGCAAGGGCTTATAAAACGCGTTTGTGTGACTAGCATGAATTGCATAAGGCGACACCAAATTTCGTTCTCGAAATTCACATGTTCTCAAGGAGATTAATCTCCAATTTTTATTTAAATTATGTATTCCTTTAAATTCTCACTTGTCACCTTGATGCTATCACCTTGATGCTATCTCTTATCGACCATGAGCAGCGCTGCAAGTACAACAAATGTCACGATCTTCCCAGACGATCTGTTAACTCAACATGTTCATCCAAGTTTTGCCGAAAAATTGTTTGCATCGCAATTTTTTATCTGCGTTTTCAAGGTCACGCCTAATCTTCGACCTTGTAAACGCTGCCTGTTTTCTACAAAGTCCTGCGTGATACGAAACACCTCAGAGTTTTCAAGGAATTTAAAAGCAAAGAAAACGCCAAGAAAATTCACCATATCGATATTGAAAACGTTTCGGAGTCCAGCTCCATCATCAGTTCGATTAAACTAAAAATGAATAAAATCACTTTAAAAGTCACGTTTTCAATATCGATATGGTGAATTTTCTTGGCGTTTTCTTTGCTTTTAAATTCCTTGTGAACTTGCGATATAAGCAGACTAATAATATACATGTAAGTACCTTAAAGTTTTATATCGTATTCTTTCCTATTGCAATGTATGTATGCATCAGATTGTTCCTTCACGCCTGAACGAACAACCACTGCCGGCAGCTATTTCTTGCAGAGCAATTATATGTCCCATGCCTGGTGTGTGTGTGTGTGGAGGCAAGAACAGTACGAGACCAAACATTAGCGAATGATTGTCGCAAAAGCACAGGGCTAGCAGGGTTCTATAGATCTCCTAATATTCTCATGAACATAATAGTTTCGAGTGAAGAGAACTCGAACTTCTTCCGAATTTCTCCCGAAGTAGGAACTCCCGAACTGTTCCTACTTTTCGCAAAGAACTTCTGTTCCTCATATACTTGACTTTTTTCGGAGAACGAATGTTTGAAACTAATGATAAAAACATATCATTTTATAACATTAAAAAGTGTTGTCGTGAAGCAACTGGAACAACTGTTTTCAAAAGGACTTCTTTCAGCTTATCAAATGAAAATGTTCACCAAAATTGCTTGGAACGCACAATTAGCATACCTTAATGACGACAGAAAGAGTTGTACATTACAATAATTGTAATGATTGTATAGGCACTGTGATCGATTCTTTTTATTTAGAATTTATTTGCGAATGAGTTTCTAATGATAAACCAAGATATTTGTGAGAAAACACAGCACAAGAATACAGGCAGATAAAACTAATCACTTTTAAGCCTGGTGTAGGCGACCCTTAATTGGTCCCGCCAAGAACGACCTCGGAATGCCTGAAAAATACGAGCGCAAATTCTTGTGTAATTGTGAGAGCGTGGAAGGAGCGCAAAATACAAGGCTAATTAAGTTAAGCTGGCTCGTAAATGAATTTCATTAAGCGCAAGCTTAAATGGGACTGGAATATTTTTCTGTATCCGTTAACGACGTCTGTAAATCATGCGGCATCCGATAACCTGGAAAATAATAATATTCGAGTGGAATATTTTTACGAATATCGTTGCTACGCTCTTAAAGTGAGTGCGACCATAAATGGATTTCAGGGCACTGAGGACGTTACAATCCGACAAATAGCGCAATGATTACATAATTTTCATCTAGATTAACTTCAAAGTGGAAGTCAAAGTGAAATTTTACAGCAGTGTGAAAACCCTTACGTTCGTTTACACGTTTCATTTAAAACTTCTGTGTAAAACGTTCGTTCGGTAAAAGTGTATCTAATTTTTATCATGATGTATCTGGATTTACTTTACGATACAATTTAACATAATGTTGCGATTCGCAGCGTATTTCACGCTTTTTCAGATGATCATCGAGCTCACTACTAAAGGCAATGTTACTTCTATCTCGTTCTTCCTATCGAGTTCGACATAAAGTGAGAAACTCCGAAGGTCAGGACATGTCTCAGGTTTCCTGACTTGATGTCTCAATTTGGCCAAATGAAATTCCGTCCAACGGGACACAGTAAACCTCGAACTGGGCACACGGACAAAGCAAAGCGCTCTTGTCGCAGTCGTCTTAGCATGTGTGTAGTCGTTCTGCTCAGTACACTCTTGATGTCACCGTGCTTGAAACTCGACTGTAATCGACTTGGCTAAAACTGTTCTCATAAACACGCATGCATAGATTCGCCATACAATAAACATGTTTGAAGTATATTGCTTCGAGCATGAGGCAACTTTCTCCGAACACGGTTGATGACATTTCGCAATTAGACTCGTCTGAATTAGCCTCAACACGCGTAACGCTTCTGTATAAATTGCTTAGAATATCTTGAAAGGGATTGGCTAATTTTGGCATCAAACACCATACCGATCTAATCTTATGGAAAAACTCAGAGGAACACCGCTTTGCTTTTCAGTCAACGCAGGAGAAAAGAACCAAAACTGCCAGTCAGGGTTGCAAATACGTCAGTTAGCAGTTTCTTATTTTCAGGAGCAACTTTATTTCCAGCAGACCCTGAACTAATGGGGGGTAATCAATGAGTTGCGTACTGCTGCTTTATTGATGCTGCTTTACTGATGACCCAGAATGAATTCATATACTATACGATTGAATACTGATTTAATTTTGATATTTATGTTGTTGCTCGTGAATAATTACATTGCATATGATTTGACAAGATAAATTCTGTTCCTTAGTCTTGTAGGTCTTCAGGAATGGGAAACGGGGATTGACATTTCACCCTCATTCTCCCATCAGTTCTGCGAAAAGAGCATTTGGTTTTATTGGGAATAGCAGTCGCTCAAAGGGAAATGTAATTACGCACTTAACCAGACAAGTTCAAACTTTACTAATGGTCAATTTGAAGAGTTTGCATCTGGCTTCCGGTGGGTGCCTGCTCCATTAACTTAGAAATGTTGACGGATGTTCTCAGGACATCACTCCCTTCTTTCGGACATTTATTTGGTGTCAAATGGGGAAAACGCTGAAATCCACAAGTTTCATTTTGGTTAATATATGAATTTAGTGTTAAATGGCTAACATTTGTTTTAGTCCGATTAAATGTAGGATTTCGTGTTTCTTCTTATGTGACTCGTTATTCTGTTCAATAACTGCAGTATTTTTAATGTCAAGTTATTTCTCACTTATCCTACTATTGAGTCCATTTACAGCATTTCCATCTGTATGGTACTTACTAAATTTCATTACGTATCATACAATACATCTGGTACGCAAAACTGCCAGTCGGCCTATCATTCTGTTATTTTGCAGTCTCAAATTTTTCGAGAACAAAAGATATGAGATACGTTCTATCATGCCGACTTAACTGCTGCTGTCAAATTCTGTCATCAAAAATTGCCGATAAATTGGGTCTCTTTGCCTCGATTACTGTTGGAAGTGTTCGGTAACTCAATTTAACATTAGGAAAGCCACTATTCTGAGAAATGGAAAGTTTCACGGTATTCTCAGATGGCATCGGCCTCAGTCATTATACACCGTATTTTTCTCTAGTGGCAACGGAAAATATCTCTGCCAAATACCGACGTGTCAGTGTTGCAAAAAGTTTTTTCTTGATCCCGAAGACCATTCGTATTCTAAGGGCGGACCTTTAAAACAAAATCAGTTGATTTTTGTTGTCGGGTCGCAATAACTTGAAACAATCGTACTAGCAGTTTCAACGATAAAAATAAGCTTCAGGCATAGTTGATTAGATGGAACCTTGTTTATTCTTTCTGCCTTGCATGTTAAAATTTTAATTCAATTATTTTTGTATCGAAAATATTTTTCAGAGGCGGAGGAAATACATCATTAGCTGAATAAATAAATTTTTCCTTTCCTTCATGGGACTGCAGCTGGCTTATCTCGGTCGGGGCTGGTGCTCGGGCTAACAAAGCGCGGCGACGCGTGATCCCGGTGCTGATTCAGAGACAACTTGTCGGAAGATTTTTGCGGACACAATCCTTCCGTGACTCAAGCCCGGGAATTTTTGATCCGCAATACGAGTTAACAACTTCGTGCGATCTGCTGACGTCAGCAGGTGATAAATCAGACACGAGCGATGAAAACCTCACCCGATTGCCATTTACTCACCAACTGCCATTTACGATTCCTCACCAATTGCCATTTACTTTATAAAGTAATCAGAGGACGCACTCATATGGAACAATTAGACGTCATTTTGTTTTATTTTATTTTACATGACCGAAAGCCTAATTCTCATTTTCAAAAATAACTGAACACAAAAGTTTCACTTGGGTGAATTAAAAAACTACGCTATAGTAATATTTTTGATTATAAACTCTGTGATAATGTAAAGTTGAAATTAAAATCTATATCCATTTATTACAATTTCGTCAAGCGATTTTTTCGACTCATAACTTCCAATCTGTAAGGGATAATTTATTTTTTAACTAGATACATGTATCTATAGATAATTTTTCCGTTAAGATTGAAGTGGAAGGGACGAAGTTTTTTTTAGTCCGACCTTCAAATGTTTTTTTTTAGTCCGACCTGAAGACTTGAATGAATATCATGACATGTAGCGAAATTTGATATGATGTCATGCCTATTGCGCGTGGAACGCTTAAAAAATAATATGCACGCAACGTAATCAAATCCCAACACGAACTTACATGATTAAATCTGCGCATAATGGACAAGTATTTTCTTGAATGATATCAAAATATTAGGTTAAGACGAATTCGTACTGGAATGGTTAAATTTTTACATTCATTTGGAAAATGATGTCGATATAACCTGAGTTCAACCTATACATCCACATTCAACGCCTTGAAAATTACAAAATTATCCTTTGAGGCAAATCGACAGAGACTCAAACTGAACTGACATATGTATGTGTCCTTGTTTATATATGTGATACGGAGGCTTGCCGATTCCATAGTTTCTTGATCAGCTAGTTAACTTGTTTACATGATTCCTACGCGAATAAAAAACTTTCATGCTTTTTTATGGCGTTAAATTAAATCTTTCAGAGAACAATTCGTAAATATTTTTTTAGTGGTTTGGTAAACAGGATGACAAAGCAATAACCTGCCAGTCAGTGACGTTTAAACCCTCAGGACGAAAAGTCAAAAGAACACATTAAAAATTAGACTTAAAATCAAGCTACAAGTTCATCTTCATCCTCAGAAAATTTCAAAGTCACAATTAATGAAACTGAAATGAATATCTCCAATTATAATTCCACAATTGTTTTTCTAAATCATAAAGTTATTCATTTATTTAGTTCATATCTGCCCCTTTCTTTGTCTAATTGTAAATCACGTTTTTAGAGAGAAAACACTCAAATATTGTAAGAAATCTTTGGTGATCGATGAAATACTCATCGATCGTATCAAAAAACTTGGTGCAATTAATTTTCTTCATCCTCCTCTTTATTTCTAAATTTTGAGAGTACCATAATTTTGTTGAGGAACGACTCGTTGGTTTTTATCTGTGTTTCCGCTGCGACCTTTGATGTTGGACTTGAAATTTCCGGTCACATTTTCATTTCGCTTAGCAGGCGATTTTTGGACGCCGTCTGTGTTTTTCGATTGCCCGTTTCGTGAGCGTGACCGAAGAGGCGATACATCGAGCGTCTTGTAAGGTGAAGCTGCGCCCACAAAGGAAACCGTCCTACTTTCAAGGCTTGGCTTGGATTGGCGAGGAGAATGTCGCGGAGTGAACCGTTCCTGTGGCCGAGTGAGTGACTTCCTTCGCGGAGTTGTCGCCACTTTGTTGTCTGTCAGAGAAGTTTTCCGCGGAGTTTTCCTCGGCGACGTCAGCTCGGGACTCGTGGAGACGTTAGGGGTGAAAAATCCTCCAATTCTATCCATGGATTGACTAACTCCTCGACGGAGGAACGGTTCGCTGCCAAAGCTCCGTTCCTTGCTGAGGGACTGTCCTCTAACAAAGGCCGCTTCTCTACTGAATGACTGGTTTCTGTTCCTTGGTATGTCCAAGCTGGATGTTGAAGGGCTTATCTTCCTAGAGGCTCGAGGACTTGGGAGAAAAAACCTCCTAGGGGAAGTAAATATAGGCGAGCTGGCATTATTTCTTTTGTTGGGGCTTCTCATCCCGGCAAATATTGGCAAATTATCTGGAGGAGGAATCAAATTATTACTAAACTTTCTCTTATCATGGCCATTCATTTTCTCGTTCACGAAGTCATGTTCTAAACTTTCCTTTTCACCTTGCCCTGTTTTCATTTGTTTCATTTTCACGTCCGATTTGTTATATACGTTCATAATATCATTGCTCAATTTCATATCAAGCTTTTTTTCATGGGGATCATGTCAGGTGTCATTCTCTTGCATTTCTATGGGTTCAACATCTGCATGAGCAGAATTTCTCTCATTCTCACGATCATTTCTTTCCTCATCTTCTTCCTCCTCTTTGATGGCGTTTTTTATCAGCATAACGTTTTCTAGCGATCTTAGCGTGTCTTCTAAGTCTTCATGAACTTTACCGTCTTCAGAGTCATTCGCAGGTTCATCTGCTTTATCCACAGTCTTCCATTTTTTAACCCTCCTCTTGCTCTGTGCACTAAGGGGCTGATCAGAACCCCCAGTCTGACCTCTAATTTGCCTCAGGTATTGCTCTCTCTTTTCTTTTTTGGCTTCATTTTCTCGTGCAATAGCTTCAAGTTTTCGTTCCTCTTCCATCGTGATTGGAATATTTTCCACAGCATTTTCTTTAAGCGGAATTGTTTCGGCAATGGAACCAATTGAGCTGCGTCTCTTGATTTCTCCGTCGCCTACCAGTTGCATCTTCGAAACAATCATTTGTTTATTCACCAACTTTTGGAAGCGTTTCTTTTCGCCCCTTTTTTCGTGTACCTTTCTCCACTCTTCATCGACAGTTTCTTTATTTCGGTAAGCTTTCAGATACTCGGTCAGGTCTTGCTCGCTTTGCGATTTTGTTCTCTGAAAAACGCGCTCTCTTTTCTCGGGAAGTTCCATCGGTGCTCGATTGCAGAAGAACATCCCACTGAAAATATCACCCATAACTTGAAGTATCGGACACCAATTTATGTCTCCATCAGTGAGAAATAATAAGCTATTTATGGAGCCTGGTACGATGATGCTTAGTACGAGTGAACTTTCGGGAGATTCTGACCCTCTTCCGCTTACATCACTTGGCCGATGAAACGATGCCCTCTCAGATAAGGAAACTTCGGACGAGGACTATCGATGACCAATCCTGTACCTGTAAAAACGCATTTATTTTTATTACTATCAAGAAAACCACAAATGCATTCTTTCTATATTCGTTATATTTCACAATTATAAATAGTTTCAAAACTCATTCAGTACAATGAAATAGATGTTTTCGAATCGAAATGCATGCGAATTTTAATTTTTTTAATGGAAGCACCCTCATCCATATTGTCGAGCTCAATACTTGCAAGGAACTTTATTTAACTCCGTTTATAATTTTAGAGTAAATATTTATCTGAATTTTATTTACTGAGGCTGACTGCTTCGTGTGCTATGGTGCATTGACAGTTAGAATGATAAATATGGACATATTTTTATGTGGATTCTAGGAAATTCTTGCGTAAGCCGTATAAGCTGATTGAGCAATTAGTTCGTGCGATGAATGTTAGGCTGGTGGGTGACTCAATTTTCCCGTGATTGAGTTGCATGGCCCATTCGGCTCGAAAGTTATATAGTGTTTTTTTTTCTAATCACTACTTCAAAAGGGCAATATATTTCCGATTGCGTTTGCTCTCAGTGCCATGTTTGCTCACATCGGTTTTGTTAAATTGGTGTTTTGTTAAATTTTGTTAAATTTGTTCGGTTTGAATTTTTCGTCAACTAGAATTTTCTCTGCAGTTGTGAATAAATATGGGCATAGCTTCGTGGATTTAAGATACACGTGCAAGGATTTAGTGTTCAAATTCTCTAAATCTACGTTATTGTTAGAATGAGGCACACTCATTCAGGGATTCATTCTCAGTAATTAAGCATTCATTAAATGTTGCTGGTGCCTTTATCTGTATCACTAATTCCAATTTTTTCAAATGAATGAATGAAAGATGACTGCACTAATGATTCCAAATGCTTGAAAAGGCTGATTTTAGTTAGAATTTTGAAATTTGATATAAAGAACTTCACGCTGCAGGTAAATAATTTCTATAGTACAATTAAGTCAAGTGTCCTCAGCACATTTAACTTCAACTTAAATCTCGTGTATATACGTATCAACTGATAGATAAATTGTAAATAATGATACATTTTGCGGGACGCTTAAATATCTATACTATGCAGTGCAAGCTCACGGTGCTGACGTTCGTACTGCGTACAGTGTTTATTTACCGGTCGTCAAAGCTACAGCCGAGTGCACTAAATAACAGCGGCTATATTGACCAGAGAAACTCCATGTGCCCGTGACTAGACTAGCGGAAATTATTAGAAAGATCGTAAGTTCTGTGCTGGTCGTAGCTTTGGGTTCTGTATTTTATGGCATCCCAAATAAATACGAAGGTCACGAATTTATTTGGATGATATCGTATTTATATAAATTAATTGATATATATCCTATGGTTTATGTATGATATCGTTTCATTTATCGCTGTGTTGTCAGATATTACCATGATAGTTACAACAAATTTTTTGTAAACCTATAGATTATTGGTTTTTCATTACAAAGAATCGATTTTTGTGTGAGCACTTCACACATTATCAATATCATTTAAACAGGCTAATTTGGCTTTATAATGAGCTTTCAAATTTGCAACAATTGCATACAATCTACGAAGTCAACATTTTACATCGATATTATTTCATTTATGCAAGTAGTTGAATCTGTATCAATATCATTTAAACAGACTAACTTGGTATAATAATGAGCTTTCAAATTTACAACAATTGCATACAATCTACGAAGTCAACATTTTACATCGATATTATTTCATTTATGCAAGTAGTTGAATCGACCAGTTATTAATTTGATGTCTTGCCTGTGGCGAATGCTAATGGTCGATAAAACATCAATATATACAAAGTCGGCTATTACTGTATAATATAATGTAACGAATGTACGAAAGTTCCTTGTCTGCAGTTGCAATATTTATAAGAGTGTATAATAGAATGTACGAAAGTTCCTTGTTCGTAGTTGCAATATTTATCCCTAAGAGGCGCGGGACAGCCCGAATATTGAGAGAATGGGCGGGACTAACGAGGTTTTACGACGCGATTCTAAAGTGAAACAGCTGCAGTGAAGTGCCTTTTTCGGGAATTTTTACTGCAGACTAAGATGAGCTTTACGACAGCGACTTGCTGAGTGCATTTGCCTATATTTTTCCTGTTATCTTGCCGAATTGTTTGATTTGTTCATCTGTTTCAATAAAACTGTCAAATTGTCGAGTCATTATGAGCAGTTATTCCTATCACTGCACGTACAGTTGAGAGTTCTCCGTTTAATTTTGATTTTTTCTTTTTTTATGTATTCTACCCTGTTTTTAGCGCATTTTCTTATTTATGAAAAAATGCACTATTGTGCTCGCCATGTCCGTCTGTCTGTCTGTCTGTCTGTCCGTCCGTGACTTCATGTTTTCGTCGACGAGAAAATGCGCTCTCTGTCACTCACTGCAGTGAGTACTGAGTTATATTTTTCCTATTGTTGTACCACTGAATTCGCGCATCTGCTGGTTGTTTGTTACTTATCTCAGTGCTTAACTTCGTGCGGTCGCCAGCCGACCAAAACTCTTGATTATACATTGGCAAGAATTTCATTAGGCCTGAGTAAACTATAACGTTTATTGCATATTTTCAGCAATAAATTTTTCCAAACTACTTCTTACGTAAAATGCTTCGATTGTAACATCAGTCATAGCTGTAATTTCAAATGTTTAGTTACAAGTCTAATGCTCATTGGATTCAGTTTAAAACTAGAATTCATTCTTACAAATTGTTTTTTTTACATTAGTTGATATAATATATGATGAATGTGGGTAATATTACACATTTATTTTACGCAACGTTTACAAGTACTCACGTGCTTTAGGGAAGAAGTCGTTGAGAAGCACGGAGTTGTAATATGATTTCCAAGTTGAATAACCAACTTAACGAAATTCACGTACTAAAAATTGTTCGCAAGATATTAATTAAATTCTTACGAGGTCGAAAATTAGAGAGTGCGAGAAGGATATCAGTGACGTGATGTTCACAAAAGGTCGCTGCGAAATGCCGTGAATGTAGAGCGCGTGGACAGCTCATGTTGTAGTTGTCATGACTTCTTTGTGACTAAACAGAAGAGCTTAGCAACAGCCTCATAGCTAAGTAGCGCCAATGATTTTCGATCCTCTGCATACAGAACAATAGTACCGTTGTTCTTAAATATATTTTGAGCTCCTAACCTGATTTTGGTTAATTTTTTTTCTCAAAATTCCCTTATGTTTGACTAACATCGTTGAGAATTCGTTGTTTTGCTACCAAATTTATTATGTTTGACTAACATCGTTGAGAATTCGTTATTTTGCTACGCTATTTATTATGTACATATTATATTTATTGTTGAGAAAAAAAGCCGTTCATTTCGGTTCTGTCGAAAGCTCAAAAGATGTAATCAGGTCTTGTATTATAATGGATTCATATGGGAAATTTTTTTCTTTTGATACAATACGCATGCATCACTGAAGCATTCTTTTGTTTCTAAGATTCGCTGATATTTCGTGATGCAACTTCAATTCAAAGGCAAATAAATTTCTTTTGATTTCAATTTGTTTTCTCAAAACGAGACTAAGGGTCGAATAATATTGGATATTCAAATTGATCTTTTATCTGAAGACACCACTCGAATCTAGTTCAAAATTCGATTGCATTTCGTTGTATTCACGTCGGGTTTGCTTCAATTAAGTAAATTCTCTTCTAGTTTGAACTAAAGTTCGTTTGCTTGATTGATTTGTACTTGAAGTGATATAACCGAGAATATTGACTAAAATTATGCTATTGCAGCATACCTTTTATGCACAATCTTGTGGAATAATTGAATTATATATCGTATAATTCAATCATTAATCAATATTTTTCTTTATTTCTCAACTATGAAACTGGCCAGCAACTCAACGTGGACTTCTGTATGATACTCATACATGCAGTGCGTGTATCATTAAGGAAACTAATATATTCACACTACTACAAAATAGCAATTAATTTGAATTATTCTAAAGATAGCGAATGGTTCATGAAGGATACTGAAATTAATCATGCAAAGACTTTATATTTTGTATTCTGAATAAAGAATAAATAATTGAACACTCCTCTAAGCGAAGATGCAACATATCCATCGCTCGACGAAAATCTCAAACGAACTTTAGAATGCCTTTCAATGGACTTTGACCGGAACGGGAGCTTAAAAACAAAAATATCAACATGGATGGCCAGCATATATAATAAATATATATGGATGTACTCGCATGTTTGACGGCTGCACAGTGATAACGGTTAATTGCGCCGCGCAAATGCTGCGTAAGAAATTTGATGCATCGAACATTGAAAATAGACAGAAAATGATGAACGTTAATAATATTCCTTCCTGGTGTTAATAATAAATGTCTTTAAGAGTCTTTAAAGTGATTCGAATTTTCCTTCCTTTTTCTCAACATCTTGTGATTTTATAGTATAGTATTGATAGTAATTTGATACAACCTACAATGATTGTAATATTGTAACTATGTATGTATGTAATCGTTTTATAGTAATATGTAATCGTTTTAATATTTTCTCAACTAATTCTGAAAAATCTTATGTTCCGAAAATTGAAAATATTTATTTTCACTATTGATGAAATAATCTTTCGAGTATGATTTTCAAACAGAAATAATTTTGATGCATCGTCTAAATCCCTAAAAATTCTTATTTATTACCTTCCTTGCAACTACCACAACTACCTCGCTGGCTGAAGTAATCCATATGGACATATTGCAAAATAATTACAAATTTTATAACGGTAAACAACATTTTATAATGGTAAATGAATAACCCTTAAAGAGTACGGTCAATTGAGAGATCTAATTTAATGGATGTTGGAAAAAGATAACGCTTTTCATTCAGATCTTTCTTCAGTCTAGAATTTGAACCAGGGCTATACGAATAAGTCATACCTGGTTACTACGTACATATAAATGCAATAAACAATAACAAACATTCAAATTAATTTCAAATAAATTAAATCATAATAATTAGAACAATAGCAATCCATACTCTCTAGTACTTACTCTCATGAGAGGTTGCAATGCGATGAATATCAAATAAGTTAAGGTGGAACGCAGTTAAGTACAGTTGTGTTCAGAGGTGATGTTCAGCCTGGGACATAAATTTAATTTTATATTTAATTCCAATTCCGGGTTTTATAACGTAATTAATTAACACTAAACTTAGCCGGTACACCCGTACCAAACAAAGCATGAACCCATAAACGTATCTAAAACCAAATATTTAGCAATAAATATATTACCTTGAATGTGATCTTTTCATTTCTAAGAGAATTAAATTTCTACACGTTAACCCACTCTCGTGTGAGACGATAGCTCATCGTGGCCAGTTCTAAGCCCAAATTCTTAAGTTTTAATGTGCGAACCAACGTGCAGGTCAGTCGGTGTCTTCCTATTCAATGAGTGAATGTGAGCTACGAGTACAATGATCGCTGTAAAGACTCTTCCCTTCAGCTCCATCGCATGTCTGGATGCTCATCGCGTCTACACAAGCGACGGGTTCAGTCGCCCTCTTAATGCTTGGAGAACTTGCAATAGATTCAGAAAGATGCAAAAGAAGGCGTGGTGAACATGTCTTTGTGTCAGCAAGTACCTATATACTTCCAGTATTTAATTATTGAATGTTTAGATGATTGGACAAAGACTGGTCTCTTACATTTCTATTGATTGATACTTGAAGATCTATCTAAAAAAATCAATTTTCCTATAGTGGGTCTTCATCGGAGCTCATCGTTAATGCACCTCATTCACGAACTTGTACCTTTCTGGCCTTACCATATGTTCAAGTATTCAGATAGAGAAATGTATTAACTGACAATCTGCGCTGGGTTGAATATATTCAATTTACACAAGATTTTTTATTTATTAGTGTTTGATAAAGTTCCGATACACAGCAATGGCATATACATATTCCTATATAATAAAAAGAGTTGACTATGATAAGTAATAAAAATTTACTAGCTAACACGCTATAATGGGAAAAATTAAATCAATTCAGCATACGTTGAGCAGCACGTCCGTTAGTCACACAAAAATTAACTATGGTACAAAACAAGATCCGAAAACGAGAAGCCTTCTATCGTGTCGGGTAATGTGGAGCGATGCGATTGGTTAACGGTTCTATAATCATTAACCAAATGAAAGTTACTCAGATCATTTTAAATTAGTCAACTTATTAGTCGCTATCGGAATCAATTAGATAATTTTTCGATTGGCCTAGATCTTCTGTCTTGCCGTTGGTCAGCCAGGTTAGAAACTCGTCGAATCTTTCGTCTTTTTTAACCTCCCCCTTCTTCTGAATAGCTTTCCTGTCGTGTATATCCCTCTGCATTCTCTTGAGATGTTCTTTCTCTCGCTGCACTTCCTTTTCTTTCTCTTTGAGCATTGCTTTCACTCCGTACATTCGGGCTTTTGATTTCATGCTTTTGTCGCCGTCCGCTGAGCTTCCTCTGTTCGTTGGGCGTCCGTTAGAAGAATTTTGATTGTTTGGTACGCTCTCACTTCTTGCTCCTCTGTCCCCAACACTGAGTCTATCTCTGTCTCTGCTTCGTCTCTCCTCACCAGAGACATCTTGGCCATCGTTCGCACTGCTCGGCAATACTCCTCCGGCTCCGGCGTTAGGAAGCGTAGTCCCGGTGATCCCAACACCCGAACCGCTAGAAATGGAGCCTTTGTCGCCACGTTTGAGGTCTCTACCTCCTGCTGATACCATGATGCCTGTGGCACGCTCGCCTTCTTTGAGGCGCTTCTCCTGTGCCTGCTTTTCCCTCCTTTTCTTCTCTTCTGCTTGTCGACGTTTTTCCATTTCTTCGTACTCCATCATCTTGCGTTGACGTGCCATCTCAGCTTCGGCTTCATAGTCTCTTTTGTCTTTTTCATTAGGTACGTTTTTTCTTAGCCTCTCTTCTATTTCCCGCTTTTGTTTCTCGAATTCTTCTCTATCACGCCTCATTTTTTCTTCCCTTAACTGGACTTCTTTTTCAACACGCAAAATTTCTAACCTTTCTAGCTCAATCCGACGTCTCTCTTCCTTGATTCTCAGCCATTCATCTGATGGATTACTGTTTATTTGGCCATCGTCAAAGACTGGACTGGATTTATTGGTGTCTTGATCTGCCTCCTTGTTATCAGCTGTCGTCCCCCTCTTTTTCTTTGACTTGCTTTCGTCACTTCTAGTAGCATTGCCAACGCCCAACAAATAAATTCGCCGCCTCTCTAATGCTTCTCTCTGCTTCTTCTCAGCTTCTGTTTCATTTGTGGGTTTATCTTCCTGTTTCTTTAGCCTCTCTTCTTCTTCCTTTCGCCTCTTTTCGTCTTCTCGTTTTCGTTTCTCGGCTTCATCTTTCAATTTTTTGTCATCATCCTCTTTTTGTTTTATCTTATGTTTTTCATCTTCTCTCTCCTTCGCCCTTCGATCAGCATCAGATTTTTCTTTCTTCTTCCTTTCTTCATCTTCATTTTCTTTCTTCTTTATTTCTTCATCTTTATTTTCTTTCTGCTTTCTTTCTACATTTTCTTTTTCTTGTTTCCTCCTTTGTTCCTCTGCTTTTCTACTCGCTTCTTCATCGTTTCTCATCACTTCTTCCTTCCTCCGCTTTTCTTCTTGTTCTCTTTTCTCTTTCGCATCTCTCTGTCTCCGCTTCTCATCTTCATCCACCTCAGTTTTTCTATTTACTTTCTCACCTTCTCGCCGAGGATCATCATTTTTATCATCACTCACTCCTGCTTTCTTATCTCTAGTATCTTCCCCATTAGTGTCGTTCTCGTTCTCATCCAGATCCACAGCATCTGCACCATGAATCCGCTCCCCCCGAAAACGTTTTTTCTCCAAACCCTTCGCTCTGGCTTGATCCCAGTCAGGGTCCGCTGGTTGACGGGATTTCTTGGCTCGCAGGTACTCTGCAAGGTCCTGCTCAGGCGCCGGCTCGGCCGACGCCAGCGACGCTTCTGTTCCCCACTCTGTCGGGGCCGGCGGCTGAGTTGTCTTTTTCTTACGGAGCATAAACATGTCGCTGGTTGTTTAAGCAACAATAGCAGTCGCCTGTCGTAAAGCGTTAACGCAAATTCGTTTATTCAAAGACGGAAAAATCAGCCTTGTTTCTTTAAAAGTTCATAAGGTGGTCGTATAAGCTTTTGTTATGAAAAATATCCTTTTTTGCTGTAGAGCTTTTTACAGTTCTTCTTCACGATGTGGTTCAATCATTTAGTCATATCCATCATGACTAATCGTTTATCCTTTATGATTTGAGCTTCCTTCTGAATATCCTAAAGGTCCTTATTTCTAATTAAGAGTTTCTGCAGCGCGTCTTAAACTGCTTTATTACGTTCATTAATGAGACTACTGTCGTATTATGAGCTTTATCACCAAGGATACGTTAATACGTAGCCTTTTTATTTTATTTTCCTGTATAGGATCAACTTCTCTCACTAGTACGTCATTAAATTAACATGAAATGCCTTCGGATGAGAATCGCGCAGCTAACAAATCCTGTCGAAATACTGTTCTATTATCAAATTTAGGACTTGTCATACTCCTCGTGGTATATTTTTTTTCGATAGCCCGTACTTCCTGTCAAATGAAGAGGAGAAGCAAACTCTACGCCGGAGAAGCCGCTGGTCTGGCACCTTCCTTGCTCCCTGTCTTGGTCACAGCAACGTCAAGTCGTCTGAAAAATAAATTAATTTAATTGCTTTCTAGGTATTAAAAATTGATCTTAATTCCATGTGCTGTTCTTCAAGTTTGGCAGTGCAAATTAATGACCAACTGACACGTAATTTTTTTATGCTCACAAAAACTGGATTCACTACCATGCCATTATTGGAATTTCTTGTTGAGGAAAATGCCTCCCAGTTTTACTGAGCTAAACTTTTTTCTAAATTACAAAACGTTCAATGTCAATCATGACACACCTTTGATGAGCCACTTCGCATCAATGGTACAAAAGACAAAGAAATCATTAATACATCAGTGTGTGCGTGTTGGGGCACGTGCAAAAAATCGCCGCTAATGGGACTGATATCGAGTACCAGGTTGTTAAGCAACTGGCTCGAAGTCTGAGCAGTATTGAACTTCGAATATTTACTCCTTATTTGTCTAGCTTGAAATATTCGAATTTGAAATTATCAGCACAAACAACATAATGTAAAAAATTAAATTTTAAATTGTAAATGAATTTGCCAGTAAATAATATGATGTGACATGCAGTGATTCTCAATTCACTAGTACTAAACAAATAACGTATCTTTTTTCCATAGGGAAGCAAAAATCTAGAAATAGAACATGAACTTCCACATTGGATTAGGTTCAATGCCCGGTAATATGCACGGTGTATTGAGAGCATTGGCCAGTTGGTCATTATCTTTTCGTTTGCGTAATTACGAGTACAAAGTCATAAAATAAATCTACATTCTACTCAACATCATATTTGAATCAATGAAATCTCGGCATTGCACTTTAGTGAATGCAATGAGCAAACAATAAGCATTATAAACTTTAATTGCTTATTCAGTTTATGTAAGAACAGGTCTAATTTCTCACTTCTGTGCTCTTGACAAAAATCAAGTTTGTGAAACTGTGCATACATGAATGAAGAAAGCTGTTCCTTGTTTGGCGTTTGATTCAGCTACTTTTTTAGCATTACTTCTATATATTGACTGAGAATACACTCGTGTATGTAGGAACTTGATCAAATTTGCGGCTGACGTACAAAACAGCACACAAATTGGAATGAAAAGATAATTTTCAAAGTGGGTTTGATGGTTTAAACGAACTCAAGTAGTTTCCTTCTTCATAATAATTTCAGTCACAATTTAAAACTCACGTGCAGTCTTCCTCAGCGCTCAATATGTTCATGGAATTTATAACGTTCACGATGACCTGAACTAGCGTCTCGCTTCATAAAACAATTAGAAAGAACTCAGTAGCTGCCATTAGCATGCTCATTTGACGCTATAAATCATTCATAATTCTCATCTAAGGGCTCATGGATTATTCATTAACTGTTGGAACAGACAAAATCAATATATTTTCCATTATATAATTGATGCCCGCTGCGAAAATTACAGATTAGTAAAGGTTAAGAATGCATTGATCCAGGCTTGCACTGTTTTGCTTGGTTACACTTCACAACAGCTCGTCAGAAAAACGAGGCTTGCTCACAGATTTGCTAAGTGACACCTCGAAACTTTTACATTACCTCTAATTGTATAGGACGGCGTGCGTGATCGCATTGTGTTCTTCTACTGGTGATTATTTTGTATACGTGGGAAAACTTTCTAAGCATAAAGCTTATATTCTTGTAGTAATTATTCTATTTAGTTTTTTTTTATATTTCGATAATTCCTAATTATATATTTCAATAATTCACATTTTAATTCACGCATAATCATTAATAGTTAGTATTAATGATCATGATATAACAATAGTATTTTTATTAATTTTAATTTGTAATTAACAATAATAGTTATTGTACAGAATTACTGTACAATGTCTACACAGTTTTCTTCCAACAAAATATAGGATATGAAAATAGAAACGAATTTTCTATGTAATAAACACCGAAACTCAAGAAAAATCTATAATGTCCCATCAATCCATCAAATTTAACTCAAATTTAACTTTCCAATGCCCACTGTCCACGACGTGGATACGTGCATTTGAATGTTATAAATGATTGCCTGGTTTTCACTATTGACGGCCTCTGCCGACCGTGCATAAACAAACGAGCTTTTGCACTCCATGGGGCTGCTGCATGTGCAATATTATAAAAGATTTTATTTTCATTCCTAATTTAAACATTTCTGCGGTTATGGCACTGGTTGAATTTTCAACCCACTGTCAGTAATTCATTCATTCCATTAGAAAATCTTGCTTTCTAATTTTGGCCCTGAAATCAGTCAATTACATTGTTGTCAAGCCTTTTCTTTTTATTACTGCTTTTCATTTAGCAGTCATTCCATTACTAGAGAAACAGACAATACATTTGGTTTCATTTAAAAGTATTCAAATTACAGGTAATCGTTTACCGACGCTGTTGAAAAGTTTTGAGGAAGGTCAATTATCAGGACGATCGTAAATTAGGAAGCTGCTTTAAAAACTGTACAAATTCATCGATGTGATTGAATTTACTCTTGACCAATTTTTTAATGAACATTAACAAAGTCATATATTCACACACGGCAGTCCTCCATTGTATAAGAATATATTGGTAACCTGCTCTATATTCCTTTGGTTAAATTTAAAAATTATAATTCTTTACGTGATGAGGCCGCCTGGAGATATTTATCAAAAATATTTTTTTTATAGTTTAAATAGCTTCTATTCTTAGACTATATTTTTGATGCAATATAAACAGGTAATATTTCTAGGTATAAAAATATTTGGCTATTTTGAAACTATATATTTATTCGCTTCCCAAAGATTCCTTGTATCGCTTACGTTAATTTGAAAAAATAACGCTTTCGTGTGCAAAGAAATTATCTGGATTTATAACATCTAATTGCACCAACTCCCTGCTTTTCATCAGCTAATAAGAGCACCAAGCAATATTTGCGCGAGCGGAACTGCTACATAGCAAACATCATCAAAGCCACAATCAAATCTTGGTTCTGATGTCCGTAGAATTTTGCATAAGTACTTTGGTGCTGACGTTACATACAGCGTAATACCCTGCGAGATCGGTCATTTAATAAATCATTGAAGCACTTAAGTATTCTATTATTATTCTGTCTAAATTAAAATCTACCACACATTTTTATTGGGATTCTTCCAGTGGGATCCAGCATCTGGCAATCGGAATAAAATTTTGTGCCATTTTGTAGTTCTTCATCAATTCAAATGAATAAATCGGTGTTTTATAAGAGAAACAGTGTCTCACCAGATCATCCGCGATTATATTAAGACGATTAAAATTATTTTGCTCGTTTAACTATTCTAATCAAGAAAATTGCTTTGAAATAACTCCAACTATTTATTTCCAATGCGTAAAGTTGAGTTTAAACAAATTCACTTCATAAATAGAGCACCGTTTCGTCAACATCTAATGTGAGGTTCATTAGATACAACACAACGACAATCTTGAGGATTTAGTGAGCTGTTCATCACTGTGAAGTCTCGCGTATGGCAGTTCACAAATAGGTAAACATACAATAGGTAAACAATCAGTAAACATACCAACCAATACCCAAAACAAATAGGTAAACATACAATAGGTAAACAATCAGTAAACATACCAACCAATACCCAAAACAAATAGGTAAACATACCCACCTTAATTCCTGCGTCCGGTATATGTGTCAGCGACATGTCCCTTGACACTACAGTTGGTAATCTTTCACAATAAACTCTGCTGTGATTTACTATTATTTCTGATGTCACATCGATGATTTTTGTTGACAGGGTTTTAAAAGAGGTTCATGTCAAACAAGGTCAACTCATTTATTTAGCTTTCAATTATTGATGATGAAATCGGATCTTTCTATCACGGAATTGAAGTGAATAAGCAGTGCGCGCTCTGGCACTCGACGTTTACAAATGATGGCAGTACATGAAGGCGATGCCTTTGTGCTGCCGTTGCCATCGTTCCCAGAGCTGCTGGCAAACTGAAACGCACTTCACTCTTTTTTTTCGTTACTGATCAAAGTGATCATTAAGCTGCATGAAGAGTTTGCTGCCCACGCTATGCTTTTCATTGCAAGGTGATTTTGTTAAATCTGTGTCACCATCCAGGCTTCGTGAATCACTACTCACAATGCCTGAAATAAAATCAATTATCTAGAATTTATTGCGAATTATCGATTGACATGAAGTTAACACCTTATTTCATTGAAAGTTAAATATCAATGAAAAACGCACGTGGAGTGTTGTAATGAAAAATTTACTTCTTGCTCGTTTGAAATCAATTGATATTAAAATAGCGATGCCAAAATATATACTTGAATCTAAATTAAAATATTTTCGCGTAGTTGTCCTTATCGAAATAATTTTTATACCTCCGTTTTTCATGGTAGTGTGACATTAGGAATATAGATTTCATGAAGCTGGCTACGGGTCAAACATAATGATTGAGGAAGTCTTTTTGTGTGACGGCAAACAATTCAATAAAGTGATATCGATAGCTGCGAACATTTAGGAACAGTGGTTTTTCAACCAAAATGTTTTTGTGTCCCTCCATTTTTGTTAGGAATATCACTGAAATTAACATTCCAGAGTTTAAGAATTCTAACGCAATTCGAATAAAAATACTCAAATTGAAGTTTAATAGAATTGTACAATCTGATATTAGCTGTTAGTCCCCATACTGTCATATTTGCCTATATAATTGCTATTTGGCTTTGATTTGTTGCAGTGTTATTATTTTATTTCTATTGAAACAGATTACTGATAATGGATAGTGAAAGATAAAGGATTATCTAATAACATTTGTTCTGTTGATGCATCTCTCGATCTGTTTAAAGCTTTTTAAAATGTTAAAAACAACATTCAAGTGCCCATTCTTAATTATTGTATTATTAAATGGTATTATTTATTTTTTTATCCCAAATTATTAATTTCGATCACGGGATGAAAATGCTCGTTTTTTTTCATTAATCTGATTTCGTACGTAGGGTTAAAGGTTAAGGTTGAGATGAAATGAAAAAGAGAGAATAATTGAATTAACGAGTAACGTCGAAACACATTAGTTTCGCTCGATGGTAACTCAAATAAATATTTTTAATTCAATATAAACGTTAATCTGCTCATAAGTAAATGGTTGCATTTCATAATTAATTTAGAAAACTACAGAAAAGCATTGCAAACCCAGGTGAGATCGATCAAACTTCAATTCACTCAGTCACTGCAGATTTAAAGGCAATATAATATGCGTTTAAAAATTACTTTTTAAAGACAACATTTCTAAAGAATCCAGTGTCTCCAATGTTACACATGTACAATTAATTTCTAATTTTATTATCAACTATTACAAAAATTAATTTTTTAATTTTACTTTTAGAATGCGTACAAAAAAATCTAAAATTATTTATTCTGTCAATTGATTCATGCATTGCCTCCGACTTTACGCAAGTGTGGGAAATTTCTGATTGATGGGAAATTTAGAAGTGTGTTAAATATCGATTATAAGATTTGTAGCAGACAGACAAACAAACAAGAAGTGAAGTTAAGGAGAAGTGTTGTAATAAAGAGAAGGTAGCGAGTGACTGCACATGTAAAGGCCAAAAAAGCCCCGCATGCGTGTGTTTTCGTTGTGTTGGTAACGGCTGTGCTAAATCACAGGCGTAATGTTATGCATGATGAAAACCTGCTGAATAATAAAAGGTCTGCAACAATCTTAATAATTTTATCAAGCACTCCCTCACTTGATATGAATTTTCATGATATATTACATGAAATTACTGAAATGAATTTTCATGATATATTACAAATTTGGTGTACATTTAATCATGGATAAGTTGAGTGTTTCTTAATCTTTTCCAACTTCCGCCCAAATTCTTTTCATATACTGAAAAATACTTAATAATGTCCCAAACAAATCTCAGTTTTTAGCCTAATTTCATTAATTTCAAGTGTTAGAAAAGTTTAAAACAACTGTAGATAATTCAATTTTTTAATGATTACTTTGATAATTACTAATTTTATTCATTTAAAAATGTGTAAATTCTAGTTTCAATAAATTCGTGTCACTCACAAAATCATGAAACCTATTGAGGCCGCTGGCTGACCATGCGCATTGAATGCGCTCAAAAGTAGTTATATTGTTGGTCAAAAATTACACCTAGGACACATTTCTTCGATTAAAACTCATTTTCTTTTAATAGAAAGATAAATGCAGAGATGAATGCCGAGCAATATAAATGAATTGTAGGAACGATAATCACGACGAGAAACTGAGTAACACTTCCTAGTCGTCCGTATTTAACTAATCCTAATTGTTACGATTAATTTAATAACTAATTTTACCTCAATTTCAACTTCTCCAACTTCCCTTTTAAATTTAATTTGCTTTTTAAGTACTCTTCTATTATTATATAAATTTTTATTCTAAATGCCAAATCTCTATGTAAATAAACTTACGATAGGTCAGTGAATTTCGTGAATTGTCAGCGAATGAACTGCATATTCTCAACAGATCTATAACCAAACTATGATGTATTTTATGTCTGCTTAATCAAGTGTGAGTGCTTGCCCCGTGTCTATTTTGCCATGGTGAAGCAAAAAGTTGTGTATATAATTCATAACATTAATTGAAAATATCGCGTGCGTACCTCCTTCCAACCGGCGCTCACAATCGCATGCATTTTCTCTCAAATTTTCTCAAATGCATTTGTTCTCAGTCTATACCAATTATGTTGAAAACAAAATTTTTCATACAATAGTAGTTTTTACTTTAATATTATTTGAAATTTTATCAATTTTATTGAATATTTGCACGAGTTTTCTTTTATGTCTCATTAATGCGACTATCTTGATGCTTTATTCGTTATTGTGTTGATTCATGAGCAGAAAAAAAAACATTTTAGAACATCAGAATTATCAACGGCAAAGCTTTTCTCGATAATTTTCACTTTTCACTTTTGCAAATGGTAACAAGAATAACTTAGGCATAATTTTCCACTTTTAAATGATGTGCCAATGAGGGGAAGTGAGAGCTGACATTTGTCACGAGACTGCTAGAACAATTTATTACCATTAATGCGAGTTGACTAATTGTTCACCCGAGGGTATTGATAAACTAATTTTAAATTCTATAGCTTTTTACAAGTTTGGTTGATGGCTCAGAGATCTGACTGAGAGTACGCTTGAATTAAGTATTTTCTGCTAAATTTGATGAGTGGGAGTCATAATGCTTATAGCTTGAATTACGCTATACCTAATATTTCAGAAAATAATATACTTCTTGTGATCATTGCCACATAACTATGGGGCATTAGACTAAAGTTTCCTAAATGAAATCAAAATCCCCTTTTCAGGTCAATGTAAAATGCTTTCTCTGTCGGTTGCCATTTGTTATTGATGCCTGCATCGTTGCAATGTTTTGCGTGATATCGTTTGTGCGTTTATAAAGCGAAGTTTGACTTTGTAATTTCCGGGATATTCTGCAGGGAGTTCGAAACTCGCTTGTATTTGGAAATAAAGTTAGCGAGAGGTTGTCAGCTGACGAACAGCTCGCACATTATTCAATATGAATCCTGCCATGAGAGTATGATATTGATATGGCTTATAAGACTGACAGCAATAGCTGCATCAAAGAATTATTCATTATGATCCAGGTCGTCATGAAATTATATTGTTGTTTGGTGTGACAAGAATATCTCAATGCACTACAATACACGGACAGTAGGGAGCGTGACTTGAGACGCCTCTTGTGAAGGCGCGAAGAAGCAAATGAGAAGCGAGCGTTTTAAGTTAGAGTTAATGAAGACAAAGTGAGAAGACCGTTTGAGGACCTTTCATTACGAGCTCCCGTCAGTATAGCTGCGAGCTCCTTAATTTACAGTGTCTTGACAAACGGGGTTCTGACGTTCATTCAGCTCCATGTCTTGATCGTCGTTTATTGATTTCTGTGTACCGCATTAATTACTAGACCTTTAACCTATCATAAATTATCAGTTAGCACATGAGCTTCATCCCCTATTATGAATTCTAAATTAATGTTGTAATAACAATAAGAAAAAGTATGACGTTCAAGAATGATTTCGAAGACTTATCATGATTAGTAATAAAACTTTCGTCGTATCAAGAGAAATTTGTATCAGGAACCTCGTAATCGCCAATCCATATGCGTCCGTAAAGTTTGGATATACTTGGAGAAACTCTCTTGCTTTGTTCACAGAGGCCCAGGCAAAAGCAAAATGTCGCCACACATATTTGTCGGCATGCTGACTTGTTTATAGGCTTGGCCTTCCTCGATAAAACAGCCCAGGCTGAAATAGAATCGTGGCGCTGCCCTCGATCATGCTGTGCGATCATATATAAATACAAGGATTAGTCGGCACTGACAACACTTCACAGGCGGCCTTACATTCTGGATAGGATGAAATAATTAAAGGTTACCCTCGTGAATCTAGAGCGACAAAGCAAGAGTAAAGGATAAACTTCCTAGAAATCTTCAGTGCTTTCTGGAAAACTGAGCAAGTGTATGATAGATAAATTTATCTTAGAGCTTTCAGTTGGACTAAAAGTCAACTCATTAACTTCTCGAATTAAATAATTTTTCGTAATATATTTTGTATTTCTTTTATTCCCTGTGTGGAATTCACGATACTTTATATTGAATCGATCAGCCACGATATCCGGCATAATTAAATTAGCTTTACCAGTAATGGTTGCTGATATAATTTGAGATTAAATGTTCACGGTTCCAGTGAAGGAGAGATAAGCCCATGTGCTTATATTGCAATTTATTTATTATTTCCGCTCTTGAAAAAACTTAGAGGACTCCAGCGTATCAAAAGTCAAGCCAATATATTGTCGAACTCTCCTTCCTTAGTTGGCCTGACGCTAATTTTATGA